CTTGTCTAAGGAATGGGGGGGATAGATGATGTGGCCGTTAGTAGTGGCTGGTGAGGAACCGGTTGTGATCCGATCATCATTGTCAATATGAAGGGGACCGGCTAAGCACTATGGTAGTCGGGCAGTTGGGAGTGCTCGGCGTTGCACGGTGTTCGGCGCCCCTCAAGTGCTCGGCATTGGAGGTGGTCGGGATGAAGTGTCTGGCGCGGCATCGTCCGGTATGATGAGTGCCCGCCGTATGGCAAATGCTCGGCGTAGGCGAGTGCCCGGCGTTTACGAGTGCTCGGTGCGAGGCCTTCAGCGGGTGCTCGGCCTTGGGAGGTGCCCGGCGGCCCTCGTGTGTTCGGCGGTCCTCGTGCGCGTCGAGGAGGTTAGAACCTCAAGGTGACTTTGTGATCAAGTTACAAAGGAGTCTGTAGCAACAAGGACTCTCGGGATTCAGAAGACCTTTAACCTATTAAGAGTTTGATATGAAGAAGACTTCTTATCCCACTGGGACTCTCCACATCTCTCCTATAAAAGGGAGCAGGTTCATTTATTTTACACAACACACATTCACGAGCTATTTCGTTACTCTACCGTTTTCTCTCTAGACCATCACTGACTTGAGCGTCGGAGTGTTTGCGCCGGGACCACCCCCGGCGTGATTTGCAGGTACCGACGATCAAGGAGACGCAATCCGGTTCGAGAGGAGCGGTTCAGCGGTTCGAGTATTTGTGGTATAACATAAATGTACTAGTAGTAATACTCATGTACAACATGGGTGTTGAATTAATGAATATATGTGTAAAGTTCTTTATGTTTAATAACAAACCTAACTCCAAAGCAAAAATAATATAAAAACAACATCAGAAAGCATAGATTTTCGTCATGTCAATATTCGAAGCGTGATAATCTACCACCTAAATTCAACATGTTTTGAATTAATATATAGGAAGAGATTTATGTGTACCTACTACAATTATAAAGATATGAATTGTAGATTAATAAATATATAAATGAAAACGAAAATTAAAGAACACGTAAATTTCAAGCAATCATATGCATGGAGAGAGGTGAGCGAGTGGCGCATTTTAGGTCAAATATATTTTCAAGATGGGCTGCTAACGTGGCACTCAGATTCACGGACCAGACAAGAATCACAAGATGATCTCAAGGCAAGACCTAATGAGAATCCTCACAACAATTTTCAATTGATGACCAAAGCATTCCAACTGATTATTCTTTTTATTCTTAGTTAATTAATTAACATTTTCGCGTCCGTAGGTGTTAAGCAAATTTGACCAAACAAAAATGGGGAAAATATTTATGTTTACGCGATAAATGAGTCTGAGCTTAGTTGGAGCTTTTACTTCTTGATCTCGAATTTGAATCTTTATCACTTAGGTTCATTAGCTAATGGCATACTCAAGTCAGGCTCGAACTTTATCAAACCGAGATAATGTAATAATTCAAAAAATATGAGCTTCCACTTGACTCGTTACCAAATCAACTAAGCTGAAATCGAACCTTAACAAATCGAGCCGAGCCCACAAGTTGTTCGGGTCGTTTAAAGTTCTAGCCCGACATAAATGTATCTACTAGGTACTGTGCAATAGGGCTTTGACCCACAGTTGGGCTTAGCAATTTTAAGAAAGTACACCATTTACCTTTAAATTTCATTTTATTTTTATATTTATAATTTTTCTTGTAATTGTAAGTATACTAACTTTTTACAGTTTATGATTGACTTATTTTTGATGTAATTTTGTTATTGATTTTTAAATTACACTTCTTTTGGGCTACTAGAGAAGCCCAGTTTTTCTCTACAATTAAGTGAAGTGGGCCAAATAAGAAACAATGGAATGGGCCTCACCACTTCTAACCCCATTACCGAATTTCATTTTTCTTTCTTCTGAAGTGAATTTCGAAGTTCCCGCGTTTCCACGCATTAATACCGCCTCACTCAGTCTCCACACTCCAAATAATCAATTGAAACCTAAACGGCTAAACGCCTAAAATTAGCCACTGCTTAAGTTTCCGGCGAACCCTCACCCACTACTACCCCGCCGACGGAGCCGTCTCCAGCGCCGTCGAGCCTAACTCGCTCAGCATGCTATGGCCCAATCAATGGAAACACATTTTCCTCATTACCTGGCTCGTCCTGCTTTTGATCGACCCACCCTACTTTTACCTGCCCTACACCGTCGACGGCGCCAGGTGTATGTCCGTCGACGACCACTCCAATGTTACAATCACCTACCTCCGGACGGTGTTCGATTTCATCTACCTTAATGAAGTTCCAGATGGAGTTTGGGTCCGTTGGGGGAGCTCATGATGGCCACTGTTGGAATCTGAAGAGGTATCTCAGCTCATGTAGGATTTCGTTGCTGATCTAACGGCGACGATCCTTTTGCATCAGGTAGACACAAACCGATCCGATCCGATCATGATTATTGATTTTTGATTTATTGTGTGTGTGTGTGTGTTTTTTTTTTTTCCCGCCAAATCTCATTAAGTTTTTTGTTATTGAAGTTTTAGGTATTGGCCAGATTTAAAGGAACTATTCAGTTCAGAATATATGAACAATGTTGGCTGATTAAAGTCAGATAATGTTTGAGTTCTCTCAAGAGTATGTACACTGTTGGCTGATTAACCGAGTGTTCTGTATTGCAACAATATTTAGAATTTCCGGTCAAATACATTGTCATCAGGTACTTAATTCTGCAGGAAATACAAATGGCACTGGTCAGTTTATTCTCCAGTATATTCCCACATTACTTGTCATTTTCTCCATGAAACAACTGATAAGAAAAAGAACCGGCTTTATTGCTGAGACTGTCTGAGCTGGAGCTGCATATGACCTGCCGCTTTACATGCTGGCTAGCCATGTAAAGAATTAAAACGAAGATCTCTGTTTTCTGATATATATTTAGTCTCTCTTTTTGCTTGCCGTTAAATTATATATCCCGTTCGTGTAGGTCTTAGGAGCTTCATGGTATCTGGCATCCATAGGGAGGCAACATTCTTGATGGAAAGAAAGGTGTATTATTGATGAACTCGAAAAAATCCTGTCGTGTAACATGAAATTCCTCGGCTGCTCGATCTCAGAAACCGTGAGACCTTGAACGGATGTGACACGGAGAATGACGATTCTGATTTTAAGTTGGGGATGTTCGTGGATGTTTTTACTAGCATCTTTACTGAGAAATTTGAGGTGAGGATAATTGTGTCTTTATGACATTGTCCAATGTAGACTTTATGTGCATTACTTATGTTGGTGTAGCTTATAACTTGTTTGCAGTTCATAATGGACAAAATCTAACCACGAGCAACGTACATAGGCGAGATATCATCATTCTGCATCAGCTCGTGTATATTCGTTCTCATTCTATTTTCACAGCTTACCGGCAATATGCACTATGCAGGTACTGATATATATTCCTTTAAGCTTTATCATCACCATTTTGCACTTATTTTTGGATCACTTTTTTAGTTCATATGCTCGGCATGCAATAAAGGTCTGTGTTAGTAACTTAGTATCATCTACAAGATGCGTCCACTCATGTGCAGAATCTAGAAACTATCTTTATTGCCTGTTATTTTCCGCTGGAATCCTCTCAGCTTTTCCTTAAAATGCACAGTATACTAAACAAACAGAGGACTAGCAATATTATAATAGTATAGACCTGTCAAACGAAACGAGTCAGCTAGCTCGCAAACTCAAATAATCAAACGAGCCAACCTAGTTAAAAACTCGTTTACTTAACTAGGCGAGCAAAGCTCGATCTTTTACACCTACTCTACATAACTACTCATCACTTTCGCATGCTTGCACGTCTCCTTGATCATACGGTTGAGATCGAGCCACGACGAGCCTTCTTCCGCCACGGCCTTCCTTGCTTCCTTTGCCACCTCTTTCACCTTGTCTCTCATCCTCTTCCCATTCTCCCCTTCCATCAGCTCCACAACCGCACTTCTCAAATTCTCCCCGGCAACAAATCCTTTCCTTGTCCCGTCCACCGTGCTCACCCTCAACCCAATCCCAATCTCTTCCGTAACAAACTTTGCGTTAAGATATTGCTCGGCCATCATCGGCCACGCCAAAATCGGAACCTCCGCGCATATCCCTTCCAAAACCGAGTTCCACCCGCAATGACTCAAAAACCCTTGCACGGCCGGGTGCTCGAGTATTTCCCTTTGATCAACCCACTCGTTCACGATAATTCCTTTCCCCTTCACCCTCTCTTCGAAACTCTCATCGATCGCGTTCAAATCACAATCCTTCCTCACGACCCATAAGAACCGCGCATTCGAACTCTCCAACCCGTTCGCTATCTCGCGTAGTTGGGCCGGGGATATCTCGGCTTGCGACCCGAACGCGATGTACAAAACCGGGGTTTGGTTTTTTTCGTCGAGCCACTCGATCCACCGCGGTTTTTGTGTGCCTCGCGAGCCCGGCGGGCCCGCAAGGCAGAGTGGGCCGACGGTATAGCACCGTAATCCATCCCGGGCGGCCAAGTGGTCGGCGAAGGGCTTTTCCATATCGTAAAAGCTGTTGACGATCATGCCGAAGCTGGCGGCCATGGCCTGGCCGGACTCGAGGATGAAATCCCAATGTGGTCCGGTGGGGAATCGGTCGGTGAACGGCCGGTCGAAGTCGTTCCGGCAGAGGGTGATGGAAGGGAAGCCAGGGACAGGGAATTCTTGGTCGGGCGAGGAGTGGAGGGAGAGGAGTGGGGCGGCAGCGAGGCTGAGGACGGTAGCGTGGTGACTCATGCCAGTGAAGGTGAGGCGGGGGATGCGGAGGAGGGTGGCGGAGTGGAGGGTCCAGGGAAGGAAGGCGTCGGAGATGAGGCAGGTGGGGTGGGGGTTGAGGGAGATGAGGGCGGAGTGGAAGGAAGGGAGGAGGAGGCGTGTGGAGTTGACGA